CCTCCATCTGCTAGTACTGTTTCATTGCTCTTTTTCTCATCACAGCTTCTTCAAAGAGGTGGCCGTGCTCACACCCCATTTCCAAGCTATTGGCTTTGGTCAGGCAGGCTGTGCCCTGGCCCTCTGCCCAAGTCCCCAGCCACTGGACCCAGCTGGACGCCTGCTCCGGCTGTCCCAGGGGGCCCTCTCTCCTCTCTGCTCAGCTCAGGGACCTCATCCAGGATGTGCTGGGCTTCCTCCCTCTCCCCCACCCCCTAGTTCTTCTCAGCTCCCTCCCTGATGGCTCCTCCACTTCTCCCTGGCTTTTTGTTCTTTGATTGTCATTTGCTTGAAAGGCAGATCAGACAGACAGGTATCTCATCAACTGGTTCACTGACCAGGAGCCAGAAGCTCCCCCCAGATCTCTCGTGTGAGTGGCGGGGGGCCAAGCATTGGGGCTATCTTCCACTGCCTCCCAGGGAGCTGGATCAGAAGTGGGGGAACAGGGTCTTGAACGGATGCTCTGATATCTGATGCGGGCTTACAACACTTGCCCTGCTCCCTGATTTTTTACTAGCGAACTACCAGGGGCTGGACCTGCGCTTGCTAGATGGTGCCCGTCAAGGTTTCCAAAGCCCATATACACTGCTGGCCTCTCTGCAGCTCATCTCTCTCAGTCCCCACCTGGAGCTGGCTGCCGGCTTGACAGGTGCAGCTCAGCACCCTGCAGCACCCCGCAGCATCTCAACCTAAGCACCTGTCTTCCTTCCATACGGTCGTGTGGCTTGTGGTCTTGCCATCTCAGTAATGGCCAATCCATCGTTCTAGGTGCTAGGATCAACACCCCCCATCACACCCCGGGCACATCCCTGAACTTCTCCTATCCACCCTCCTGTCCCCGCCCCTGCCACCCAGCTCAGCAGAACTCTCCAAGACCTTAGCCCACCTGCTCTCAACAGGGCAGGCACGGGCTGCCTCTCTTCTGTTCCAAACCCTGGACCTCCCTACCTCCATCTCCCTTGCCCTGTACCCACTCTGCCCTGGGCATCCTGGCCTCACCAGTACCTGTCATTTACTCTCTGTTTCCTCTGCCCAGAGCCACCAAATGGACCCATGGCTTCCCCCCAAAACCCACACAGCTCCCGTGCCACTGCCTCCTCTACTAGAACTTGGCGCTATGAAACCAGGACCTGGCCCATCCTGCTCACCACTGTCTCCTCCCAGCCCATAGACTGGCAGGTCCAGGTGGGGCTGGCTCTGGACAGCACCCCCAGCTGGGCAGGTCTGTCCTGCAGCAGCCACGCTGCCCATGGGAGCCAAGACTGACCGGCTGAGCCAGGGACCCAGGCTGAAAGCGGCTTTGCCAGGTAAGCCTCAGGGGCTGATGGCGCCCCTGGCTGCCTTCCCCAAAGGGGCACCTGCCCAGGCATGCCAGGCGTGCCTCCCTCTGGGATTCCTGCTTCTCCGGAGTTGTGGGAATAAGGGAGAGAGGCGCCCTTGGGTATGTTGCCTGCTTCATGGTGGCACGTAGCACAGCAGAGACGTGGGTTAAAGGCTGGGGACTGGGGCAGGTCTGAGTGTGAGCCTGAGGGTCCACCTGTCCCCCATCCTGAGTGCAAGCCAGAGTGAGAACTATGTGGGCCAGAGATGCAGGCGGCTCGGGGCTGTCCCTGGACGGATCACCCCAGACACTAGATCAAGCCCAACCTTGGATGCTTTCTGTTCCCAACCCACAGCGGGTCAAGCACCCGACCTCTGGCGTTTCTCTTCCCTTCCTTAGGCGTTTTCTCCCTGTTGTTGATCATTTCGCCTGGTGAAATCTGCACACATCGGGAAGCGCTCAAAGCACGAATGTGCCGGTTGACATGTTGCTGCAATCCGCATACCTGTGTAACTACTACCCGAGCTGGCTGGGAGAACATTCCAGAGCCTTCTGGCCCTCCTCCACCCCATCCTCACTTCCCCCATGCTCTCCCACACCCCAATATCCAGCACGAAGTCTGAGGCATTCACCTCCTTGCATTTCCTTACATTTTGGCTGCCTAACCACGAGCTCATTCTGCCCTGTGTCTCATTGTCACATGCGGGGAATCACAAGCGTGGTTATTTTGGCTTGTTTGGCTTCTTTCCTTGCACACCATTTGTAAAGTTCTTGTGCTTGTTGTGGAGTGTGGCTGCCTGCACTGGGTGTCTGCTTGGGGGTGCTGAATTTGCCACCCTAAGAATGAACCACTAGCTGTTGACCCACTGCACCGTCTCTGGGTTAGGATCCGGGCCTGGCAGTCTCTGACTCACTGGTTTGCGGGAGCGTGCGGGACAATCACTGGAGGGTCGGATGTGTGGAGACACGGGGACCTGAGGCGGGTATTGTACACTAGCTAAATTTCTCCCTCCAACTCCAGAATCCCACAGGGGTCCTAGCTGCTTCACTTCCAGTCCGGCTCCCCGTAGATGGCTCAAGTCTATGCAATCCTGTCCCCCCATGGAGAATCCAAAAGCCACTGGCTCTTGGCCTCTGACCAGCCAAGCTCTGGCCATTGTGGCCATTTGGAGAGTGAACCAGCTGATGGAAGACCTCTGTCTCCCCCTTCTCTGTCTTTCCTCCTCACTGTAAGTGTGGTTTTCCAATAAAAATAAATAAATCTTGAGAAAGAGAACAGAACATAGGGGGACTGGGGCGAGTGTTGTGACCTAGCAAACTAAGCCTCTGCCTGCCATGATAGCATCCCACATGAGTGCTGGTTCGAGTCCTGGCTGGCTCCACTCCTAATCCAGCTCCCCGCTTATGATCTGGGAAAGCAGTGAAAGATGGCCCAAGTTCTGGGCCCTTGCACCTACACGGGAGACCAAGAAGCTTAGGCTGCTGGTTTGGCCTTGCCCAGCTCCAGCCATTGCAATCATTTGAGGAATGAACCAGTGGATAGAAGAATCTCTCTCTAATCTGCCTTTCAAGTAAAATTTTAAAAATAAAGAAATCAAAAAACAAGAAAGAAAATGCGAGGGGGACTTCAAACTGTTCGTGGAAACATGGAATGAACAGGCAGGTTCATTTTGGTCCCCAACATTTTTAAATGCACCCATAGTTTGTGATACTATATGCTTCCTCTGCCTTCCTCTGCAGTCCTTTCACGTACCCTTTTAAGCAACAGCTACATTTCTCAACATTCTCCAAAAACAGCAATGCTTTTGCAGCTTATTTAAAAAAAAAAAAATCCTGTGCCTGGCACAATAGCGTAGTGATTAAAGTCCTTGCCTTGAACACACCGGGATCCCATATGGCCGCCAGTTCTAATCCCAGCAGCTCCACTTCCCATCGAGCTCCCTGCTTGTGGCCTGGGAAAGCAGTCGAGGACGGCTCAAAGCCTTGGGACCCTGCACCCGTGTGGGAGACGTGGAAGAAGTTCCTGGCTTCGGATTGGCTCAGCTCCAGCCGTTGCAGCCACTGGGGAGTGAACCACTGGATGGAAGATCTTCCTCTCTGTCTCTCCTCCTCTCTGTATTTGACTTTCCAATAAAAATAAATAAATCTTATAAAAAAAATCCTCCTGTACCCCAGGATCACTAGGACACAAGTCCAGCTCGGTGGACATCAGCCTGACTGCTCTCGCTGGACCCAGTGGCACCACAGTGAGACTGCAAGCATTTCCGGGCAGGCCCTGGTCCTCCAAGGCCCTCACATCTGGTCTGTTAGCCCAACCTGCTGCTCTCCTGTGTGCCAGGGAGGTCACGGCTGCCCATGTGAGGCCCACTTAGGACACCCAGAAGAAACTCTTCTACCTGGAAGACTCGGTGGCCGTGGCCAGGCATGGGCAAGGGCAGAGCTGGGCCAAGGCGCAGTCGAAGGTGAGGATCTGCTCCTATCTGAGCATTTAGGGCCCTGCCAGCCCAACAGCTTTCCACCCTCCACCCCGCAGCATGCTGATCCCATTGTGCAAAGCTCTGTGCCCTGAGATGGGACACAGCTGGGAGCCACACTTCCCATCCAGCGCACCCCACAGGCAACACCTGGCTGCCACACCCTTCCCATTCCATGCCAGCCATTGTCCTGTTACCCCGGTCCCGAGATTGTCCCACTCTGCACCACCGCCCCAAACACATAGACACACACACCTTTTTCGTCAACCACGTCCCCACACAGCAGCCAAACCCAGCCAGGCCCCGCTGGCTGCTGCCGGGAGCGCCCCCTCCTGGCACTCCACAGCACTCACAGTGAACAAGGACAGCTCTCCGCTCAGGGCCTCCCACCGCCCCGTGCCCTGTCTACTCCCCCAGCTCCACAGACCTTCCCGATCTGCCTGCGTTCCCACGGCGCATGCCTACCCTGGGCCCTCTGCATCTGCCATGCCCTCAGCTTGTGTGCTCTTCCCAGCTTGCCCCCGACTGTGCGGGTCAGTGCAGCAGGCATGCCAGGCTAGCTGGCCAGCCTTTCTATAGCTACAGGTCCCTCGTCAGTCTTCCTCTCTCGTGTTTTGGTACATGCTCACTGGTGCACAATGCCTACTTTCACCTCCCACAGACAGCAGAGGTGAGCGGAAGTAAAGACCTGGCTCGCTGAACCCCTCTGGCCGAGTTAGAACCTGGTCTGGGTCAGACACTTAATGGAAAACGATTCCACATCACAGGGGGCAGTGAGTCCTCGGTATTCGCTACACTCAGGCCAGGCACGGGAAGTGAGTTTTGCGGGGAAGGGGGAGTCAGGCAGGGGCCACTGTGTGGCTGCAGCAAGGGCTGGCAGAGCAGACAGAAGCAGACATAGGCACCTGCCATGAGCCTGTCTCCCTTCTGGCTGGCCTTAGGCCGTTGTGCCCAAAAGCCACAAGACTCTTGCCAGGGCATGCCCAGTGCAGCAGTGGACAGATGAGCAGCTGGCGACCTTGAGGGCCAGCCTGTCGCACAAGGGGAAGTACCCAGAAAGCAAGTCCCAAGCAAGAGGGACCTCGCTTGGGCTGCAGGGTCGGCAGGGCTGTGATTACCTGGAGACAAGGGTTCTACAGGGTGGGCATGCGAGTTACGGGCAGTACCTCCGCCAAGTGGGGCCCAGATGACCCGGCGGATGGCCTGCACCCAGTCCTCCATGTCCCGCTGGGAGCTGGCCATGAGCAGCAGTGCCTCAGGGTTGGCCGGCACCTTCTCCCGCTCGCGGGCGCCACCTGCAAGACAGCGAGACACAGGCTTACCTGGGGGTCCCTGCACCAGACATGGGCTCCCACCCTCCCCTCTACCCCCTACACACATGTGTCGCCAGCATGCCAGACCCCTGATGCTAGTCAGCGTCCCGTCCAGTGCCAGCCCTAGACCCTGGTTCTGGTTCGTGGCCTGCCTTGTTAACACCTTTGGGACCCTCTTCCAGGTTTTTCTTTTCCTCCTTTAATCTTAGTGCTGTGTCAGAACAGAAACTCTAGAATGTGCCGGAGCACTGCTGGAGGAAAACGCTGCTCTGACTCCAGGTCGACCTCGGAGAAGGGCAGTGCCGGACAGCAACCTCGCTCTCTTGGGTCTCAGACTTGATCTTAGCCAAAAGGCCAAGAAGCGACATGTTGGGTTTTAAATCAGCTTCACCTGTCTGCAGTACGGTTTACTATCACCATGGGCTGTCCCAGTCCTCTTGCCACACGCACAATTTGACATCCAGAGAAGACACCCCAACGCCTACAGCAGCCTGGAACCTCAACCTAGGCCTCCCATGTAGGTAGCAGGGCCCTATTGCTGGAGCCATTACCTGCTGCCTCCCATGAGCAGGAACTTGGGAGCGGGAGCTAGGACTGAGCCCAGAGACGCCCACAGGGGACATGGCAGGTGGCTTACTCCTCCTTCCCCCTCCTTCCCTCATCTTATGTGCTTTGAACTTTGATACTTGCCTGCTCTGCCTGAAAGCGGGACTGGATCTTCTGCATTTATCAACATCCTAGTCTGGCCACCGAGCCAGGCCGGAGCTCAGTGCTCCCCGGTTCTCCTCCTGACTCCCTATCCACAGCCAGAATGGAAGCACTCAGATATCTTTCTCCATCTATGGCACCCCAAGGGGTTGTTCACATTCTCCTGTATAACTGAATGTATCTTTGGGGGTGTTCCTAAAACCATGCGCAATGAATGCCTAGGAATATTTAAGAACAATTCTGTCCTGGAGCTAGGCTGAAGTACAGAGCCAGGAATTCCACCCGGGTCTCTCACAAGAGTGGCAGGGCCCCCAAATATATGAGCCATCGGTTGCTGGAATGGAGGCAGAACAGCAACTCCAACTGAAGGAAGCCATTACAGGAGGTGGGTCTCCAAGGTGACAACCCAACTGCTTACGCTGAGCTCCCATCCCAACCCCCCGTTTCTGTTCTCAGTGGGCGAGTGCTGTGACCTGCCCCCAGCGTACTGCTGGGGAAGCACCCCGCCCGGACACAGCGTGTCTTTACAAGGTTTTATAACAAACCACTTTCTCATGGTGCTGTACAGTTTTCTTTGACCCGCGGGTTATTCAGAGAATGTTTCAAAATCTGAAGAATTTCCCCAGAAAACCTTCCTATTGCTGCTTTCCACTTTAATTCCACTGTGTCTAGAGAAGATGTGTTGAATGTCTTCATCCCTTTAAATGTACTAAAACTTGGTTGGACCCCACATATGCTCTTTTTTTTAAACATTTATTTATTTATTTTTAAATTTTTTGATGATGATTACATGGTTGATCGGGGTGGGAAGGATTGAGAAACAGGGAAAAATGGGTGAAATCATGGTTTCCAAATTTTCTATTTCTTCTTCTTCTTGTTTCAGGGGGAAGGGGAAAGATAAAGGGGGAACCACACCCAGCTTCCCAGATGTCCCATTACCCAGGGATGGGGAACCGCCACCTGATATCAACCCAGGTCCCAATGTGGTGCATGTTCTGAGGGTTCTACTCAAGTGGTTTGGACAGTTCTGAAATGCTGTTGATTTCAACGATGATCCAAGGAAAATGCAACCATCCCAATGTCCACTGGTTGACACAGTCAACCTCACGTCTCCATTTACCCAGACTTCCGCTGTTCTTGCTTGGCTGGGGTAGTTGTCCAATTTGCTCTGTTCTTATTCTTGCCGTGGTACCAAATGTGCTGCCATATTCTCCGTGTGCATCAGGGTCTGCATCCACTGCTCCACCTTTTTCATGGAGGAAAAAATAGTCTTCCTGGCGGGCCCAAGGTCCCAACTGAGCCTGGCGACCTGAGTCCCACCAAATCCCCCACCCCTAGGGCTCTTGAACCTGTCACCCACCTTATAGATGGGCACAGGGACCCAGGCCAGATCACCCGTGTCCCGCCAGATCCCACAATTCAAGGGCTCATGAAACCAGCATTCCCCTTGCGGCCACATATGCTCTTGACCTCAGTAGCCATTCTGTAGGCACTGGGAAAAATGGCCTCTGCCATGACTGGGTGACTTTTTCCAGTCTGTAGTGTCAGGAGGCTATATTCTTCTGACTCTGTGTGTGTTTATTTTAAAATATTTATTTATTTATATTGCAGAGAAGGAAAGGTAGAAAGATCTTCCATCTGCTGATTCACTCCCCAGGTGACCACAATGGCTGGAGCTGAGCTGATCTGAAGCCTAGGAGCCAGGAGCTTCTTCCGGGTCTCCCACATGGGTGCAGGGTCCCAAGGCTTTGGGCCATCCTCAACTACTTTCCCAGGCCACAAGCAGGGAGCTGGATGGGAAGTGGAGCAGCCAGGATTAGAACCGGTGCCCATATAGGATCCCAGTGTGTGCAAGGTGAGGACTTTAACTACTATGCTATCACGCTAAGCCCTGTTTGTTTTGTTTTGAAATCATCCAATTCTACCTCCTTAGATGGCCTACTAGGAAAAATCTGTGGTGGGGGGGGGCGGGAAATCCATGTGGTAGCTCAACAGGCTAATCCTCTGCCTGCAGAAGCTAATCCTATCCTATATGGGTGCCAGTTCTAGTCCCAGCTACTCCACTTCCAATCCAGCTCCTTACTTGTGGACTGGGAAAGCAATGAAGGATGTCTCAAGTCTTTGGGCCCTTGTACCCACGTGGGAGATCAGGCTCCTGGCTTCAGATCAGCTCAGCTCTGGCCATTGCAGTCATTCAGGGAATGAAGCAATAGATGGAAGATCTCTCTCTGTCTCTCCTCTCTGGAAATCTGGCTTTGCAATAAAAATATATCAATCTAAAAAAAAAAAAAGAAGAATATCCATTTCTTCTTTCCTAACTTTTTGTTTGTTTGTTGGTGGTTGTCATACATATTACTGTTAGACGCTGCTATCCATCCCAAAGGAGTTAGCATCCTTGGACAGACTGAATGGACAAGAAAACTGCATCTAGGGACTGGCACAGTAGCCTAGTGGCCAGGATCCCATATGGGTGCCGGTACTAATCCCATCTGCTCCACTTCCCTTCTAGCTCCCTGCTTGTGGCCTGAGAAAGCAATGGTGGATGGCCTGAGGTTTTGGGACCCTGCACCCACGTGAGAGACCCAAAGGAGGCTCCTGGCTTTGGATCAGCTCAGCTCTGGTTGTTGTGGCCACTTGGGGGGCGGGGTGAGTCAGCAGGTGGAGGATCTTTCTCTCTGTATCTCCTATCTGCCTTTCCAATGGAAATGAATACATGTTTAAAAAATAATAATGAAAAGAAAAGTGCACCTAGTAAGCCATGCAGTTGCAGGTGCCAGCTCCCAGGTGGTGGCTCTGCACTCCTGCTGGAAGGCCTTCCTCTGGTGTTTCTCACAGTGGGCAGTGGTTGGTGAGTCCCTCCAGCGTGTGCATTGCTCCGCCTTCCTTTTGGAAAGATATTCTTGCAGGGTAAAGACTTCAGGGTTTGGGGTCGGCGCTGTGGCAATGTAAGTCAAGCCTTTAACTGCAGCACCAGAATCCCATGTGAGTGACAGTTCAAGTCCCAACTGCTCTACTTCTGATCCACGTTCCTGCTAATGCCCTGAGGAGGCAGGAGAGAACGAGCCAGGGTACTTGAACCTCTGCACCTATGTGGGAGACCCAGAAGGAGCTCCTGCTTTGGTCTGGCCCAGCTCTGGCCATGTGGCCATGTGGGGAATGAGTCGGAGGATGGGAGATCTCTGTCTCTCTCCTTCTCTCTTTAACTCTGCATTTCAAATAAGAATAAATAAATCTTTAAAAATAACCTGCAGGTTGGACCTGCTTTTCTTCTGTTACTGCGGGGATGGAGCCCAGCAGCCCTCTCACTGACAACCGGCGGTCCTCATGGCTTTCCCATTCGGCCAGCATCTGCTCGGCCGCGTGTGTCTGAGTCCATGTCCGAGGACGATTCGCAGCACGGTTCTCCATCTTGACTGAGTGGCACCACAGATCTCGACTTCTCAGTTTTCACTAAATCTGGAACATGTGGGGTCACCGTTTCTTCAATTTATCTTTGCTTCCTCCTCTTGGCGAGGCCTGTGACTTACATTTTGCACACGTTGAGGTTACCCCACAAACTCTCAGTGGCTCTATTTCTGGCTAACTTCTCCTTTCCCTGTGTGTTTCATTTTGGGGTTGGAAGATCGTGGCCTCACAGTGACACCTAAGTCCCCAGAAATCCGGCGTGAGGTTGGGTTACCACGACAAAAGAGAATCCAGACAGCAGATGGAATCCGAGTTGGGAATTGGCTGCCTCTCACAGCGAGGGTCTCATGGCTGAACCAACAGCCTTACATGGTGTCTAAAGGAGAAGAGGAGGGGCCGGCCCTGGGCTGCCAGTCTGGGAGGCGGGGTATGTGGCACACAGTGGGAGATGGGCAGCGCCCCTGCTGTCTACGTGCCAGATGCTGGTGGTACCCTCTCCCTGCCTCCCATGTGAGATCCACCGAAACCGTCTCTGATCATGGCCAAATGGGGGCAGGGCAAAACTACTCCTTGTTAGAAAGCTCTGGTAAGGAACAACCAGAGCCTGCTGATTTAAGTGCATGCGCATGGTGCACCATGCCCAAATCCCACCCCCACCTCTGCCATCAGACTGGCTTCTTGCTGGATTCGCCATCTCGGTGCTGGGAGCTGGGAGCTGCACTGCTCCCCACTTCCAGATCCCCCACAACCTCCCCTCTCCATCAAGAGCAATTCCAGCTTCCAGCCATTCACACCGAAACCTGATCAGTGCTTGGCTCCATCTCACTCTAGTGCGTATCCATTTCTCACATTCAAAACTGGGTCACCCT